AAATACTTATATATTTACACTTTTCTTCATTAAAAATAATGATTAAGACTACATTACGAAAAGAAAGAGCAAGAACACAAAAATATAAGAATATACTTCTTTATTTTGATTAATGTGGTGTATTTAATTAACAATATATTTGTTTCATTTGATTTATGTGATAGATTTTGATTAAAAATATATGTAAAAAATAATTTAAATTAATATGATATAGTTTAACTGAATATTGATATATATTTTAAACTTATATGATATAGTTTGACCGAATGTTGATCTATTAGAAATTTTTACTTTTAGAAAAAGGAAAAGTTATGTATTAACATATTTGGGTTCATAACTATAATAAAATAAATCTTTAAAGTTAAATTATTATTATTTTGAAGTCAAAAGGTCAAATTATTTTAAAACATAATTTATAGCCGGATTCCCAACTATACACTCATACTTTATGGGGATCCTATCACCCTCCTGAATTTTATAAAACTGAAATAGTTACACGCTTGAAAAGCCACAATCACATCTATATTGATCTGTGAATTTCACGCGTTCGACACGTGGAAATTTAATTAATTTATTATTTTTTTCAATTTTATTATAATTCCTTTCTCTTTTTCCTATACTCTTTCAATTTCTTCAAATTCTAAAGCAATTTCTTTCCTAGTTCCTTCAAATTTCTAAAGTAACTTCACCATTACTTTAAACACCAAAGTCCATCAAAATTGAGTAAATATCTCAGATGGTCACTTAACTATGCACTCTTCTCTCAGAAAGTCACTCAACTTTTAATTTTCACTCAAAAGTCACTCAACTATTGCTTTCTTTCTCAGAAAGTCACTCAACTGGAATTTTAACTCGAAAGTCATTCAACTATCCACTCTTTCCTCAAAAAGTCACCCAATATATTAAATTATTTTTTTATTAAAAATTGTTGATGTTAATTATTTATATAACAAACCAAAAATTTAAAAAAATGAATTAAACTATTTAGTGATCCATCCACCTAACCCGACCCATTAAAAATATGATATGACCCA